GTTAGGTAGCTATAGAGCCAAGGTAGATTTCTAAATACAAAACAAGTACCATAGAACTAAATTAGTTAATCAGAATGCAACTAATAAATACCTTAGAGGCAACTAATATTCCCAACAAGATGGTATCAAAACTCTGTCCACAAGAATCACACCAACGCTCTCCGCAAACAGCCCAAGGTCAGAACTATCTTGATTCACACAAACAAAATCGCAACCGTAAGACAATACACTATCACGACGCAACCACAAATAGAAGCATTAAAATTAGAGATTCAACGGGGACAAAGACAAATAATAAGGATCAAGCCAGCATATGATGTCACTTGTGAGAACAACGATGTACAGTCTAGAAGGCAAATGGATAATAATTACAAAGTTAGTTGAAAGACCTAAATTATTATGAATATTGTGATTAGATTGTTGTGGGGGTGGCTTCCCAAACAATTATTCCGTTTCACTCCATTTGGTACATTTAAGTCTTTGACCCTGTGATTCCATCTACCATGCAAATAATAATAAGGTAGCCTATGCTTTTAGACATGACACATACCAGCAATTTAAGATTTGAACTGTTGCTTGAATGGTAAGAAGTTTATTCACTGTAGATCATTGCGTTCATCTGTTGTTCATTAATAGAAGTAAGTGGGATCAGTATCGTCAACATGCCACACATACGATATTGGTGAACTATATCGCAGTAGACAATTAACAGGGATGCATGCAATGTACTTGCAGGGCCTTGAAGGCGTATAGAGGCCTGGTTGGATTTTTAATGAATGAGGACAAGACGGTAAAGTGAAGGTCATTTTCCGTCAGTTGGTTGTTGCTGTAAAATTTTACAAATGCACGGACACAACATAATCATACAGTAATTGCTTTAAGTCTTTTCTCCTCTTGTGTAGATGCAATTTCATGCACCATCGGACACATCTGATTCCGATCAGAGAACGATGCACATACTCTGGCTCCTTTTCTGATCCGATAATTATGCCCTCACTGTAAGCTATTTTATCAGTCTGTTTCAAAACTGAGGCAGACTATTTAAAACATTCAGCTACCTAATTCTCCACAGAGCATAATGACTGGAATTGACTTTATCTCACTTCACTTTAACTTATTATGTCCTTGAAGAACAATCTGTATTCAGGTGTATTTTCGAGTGGATTTCAATACACCGCCAGGCATGAAGTAACAAAACCGTAGGCGGTTAGAGCTCTTTTCACTCGAACTATACTGCGTCGAATGATGTATTGTGGATAAATGTACTAATTAAAGATACACAGCAAGGAGTAAATAAGACACCGAAAATTCTCTACTGTGTATAAAAGTACTGTTGAGACTAAAGCCATTGTTCCTGCTGATATTACTACTTTGAGCACCAAACCAAAACAGTGAATATGTTGAAATATGAATGTTTTGTGGCAAAAAATTATATCAAGTTAGCGTTATTTTTATCTGCTCTCATGTAGTAAGTGCATTTTATTCAACTTCGTCATTATACGACATTATTCTGATGAATCAGCACGCATGCGCTATCGGCAAACTGCTATTATAAATTTATTCTACAAATAACATCTTTCACTTTTCCTTCTTCGAATGTGTGACTCAATAGTGATTTTGTCCACTGGTATGAAATGTATTAAAAATATGAATTCAGTCTAACCTCTAAATAATAGTTAATTGAGGTTAGACTTATGAATTTCAATGTTGATCTATCTCATCATTATTTGTCTGCATAAGAAATCATTTGTTTTGGAAAGTTGAACATTCCTGCATGACGATAACACATAGAAATGTTCAGTGTGTCTTGAAGAACAAGTAAAAATGAAAAATAACTCACACTGTGGTTGTACGTTAGTAATTGTTTCTAATCGGCCGACCGCCCGGTGAGTTGATCTTCAGTATGCAGCCAACCAGCGAAGTGAACGAAATTGAAGGCATCTGTTGATGAAAGTCTGCAATGGCTTGTTGGAAATGCCTTTCGTGACACACAGTGCAAGTTTCTGACCCATATAGAAGAAGTGACTGACTGACTTCACATTTGTGTTGAACAGAATCCGAATCCTGTTGTTTATACTGGCTGAGTGAGTGCAGACGATTTCGAAACTGGTTTCAGGTTGATGGTGTGTCTTGCCTTTCCGACTGTGGCTGTCTGACTGGCTTTGACATCTTCATCCGATCACCTAACCTGTAGTTGAAACGATGTTGACTTTGTGGACAAGGGAAGGAAGTGACGGCTTTCAAATTTATTCTGTTGATAGTGACTGGTGCTGATTGTTGTTGCTGTTAGTTGGTTGGTTGGTTGGTTGGTTATCCGCATCACCTCCGTGCATCTCTGTGTTCACCTGCAGTCCTGATTTCGCTACTCGCCTCTTCAGCCAGCTTGTTGGTTCTCGTCTGCTTACAAGTCTTCGAGTTTGTGTGACATCAGTCATAAATCATTCAGACACGAAATCCAGATCTCCTAGAGTCTCCTCATCGGTCGTCCAGCGTATTCCTGTCGTCTCGCTCACCACATACAATCTGCCGCCTAATCCAGTCAGTTCACCACAGCTGGGAATATCATCGGTGATAATAGTCAGGCATCAGCCAACCAGCCAGACTTGTCTTACTCCTGTATTCACTTCGAACGCCTCGCTGGGTTTTCCGTTGCGGATCACCAGACACACGGCATTGTCATATACCCATAGGTTGAATGAGGCTGATACAGATTTGGTCACAGCGCGCTATAGTGCTGAAATAGTTTCCAAACTACTTCTCGATCAACACTGTCTGTCGACGGCCTTTTCGAAGGCAATGAAGTTGAGATAGATAGATAGATAGATTTCACTGTCATTCTATGCTTTGTTCTGTGACGACGATGTGTATAGTTGCAATTCGATGAGAACATTATTTGCCTTGCCTGAATCCAGCTTATTCTGGTGGTGGGGCGGAGTTTTGCATCCAGTGCATATTTTATTCTCTGCAAGATGATTCGACTTCGTATTTCACTTGGCATGGATAAGAGCGTGATTCGGCGCCAGTTTTTTCAGAAGCTCTTCTTTGTTATCTTGACAAGGTAGCCTTTCTTTCAATCGGTGGGCACCTTTCCTTCCTTCTACATGGTTTGCGATAGTGGTGTGAGCATATCCACTCGGGTCTCTGGGTTCGTCTTCAATGCTGCAGGGGATTTCCGTCCGGTCCTGCTGCCTTCTCGGACGTCAGTGGCTTGATTGCATTCAAGACCTCTGCTTTCGTTGAGGGATTGTTGTCGACTGACAGGCATATCCGTGTGTGCTGTTGGTGGTATTTCGGGACAAGCTGCCAGTGGTGGTCGATTCAAGAGCCCTTTGAAGTGATCAATCAACCCACTGTTCTATTTGCCTCTAGTCTTTCGTAATGAAGTTCCCCTAACCAGCTCTTATGGCTTTCGGCATCTGGGTTGATCTCTTCCAGGATGGAGACCTGGTTATCTGATATAGTGTTCTGGAGTCGCTTCCGCCTGCAGCCTGTTCTGCTTCAGTTGCTAGCCAGTGTGTTGTAAGATTTTGTTTTGTCTTTCCTAGCCGTCTTCTTTAATTTTATGTTCATAGCTTTGTAGACTGAACTCAGCTTCTCCTTCTCTTGTCCATCTTTGCATCGGTTCACCTTCTGTTTCGCCATTCTCGTCTGCTCTCTTCTGTTACCTGCCATGTGTTCGTTGTGAGATATTCTTTGTCTCGCCTCTTCTTGCTTCCTAGAATGCTTGAAGAGGTTTCCTTGAACATAGGTTTTAGAGAGTTCTAATGTCTCTGTGCAGGGGTTTCCTTAGTGATTCTAGATAGTGTCTCGAACTTTGCTTTGATGCGTGCTGTGAAGGGGTGTTTTGTGGTTTCATCTTTCAGTCTTCAAATTTTATGCAAGTCTTCAGCTTGATCTTTCAGTTTGTTTACACTGGATCATTGTGCAAGTCAACATCTGCTTCGCTTCTCGAGTTTGTCTTCGTCAGAGTGTCCCCAATTCTCGAGATTGAGAAAAATTATATCTTGTTCTTGCTGTGTTTGGTGGGGAAATCATTGTTGGTTTGTTTACATGCTTGTCCTTTTTCGTGCTGTCTCCATTCACTATATCATGCTTCGAAGTCTGCTTAGAATTCTGCGTTATCACTGATTTATTCGAGAGCCTCTCGACGGATGATGAATTCTCCTCTGATACTGTCTGTTTTTTGGTTAATATTCATGCTCCCCGTTAGGACTTTGATGTCACCATTTGGGATGTTTTTGTTGTCTATAAAAATCTTTCCATTGTCCCGCGTTGTTTGTATGTATATAGCAGTGGAAAATTTTGACCTTACTTCCTTTTGAGTTGGATATTGTTGTTGCAATGCTGGAGACGAGTGGTTTTCACTGCATAAGTGCTTTGACTGCTGTTGGTGACACTATGATAAGCACAGCCTTAGTGGGGTTGTGGCTCTCTTCTTGATGACAGCAGTAGATTACTGACTCTCCATTTGACAACTTGCATAGTCTACGTCCATTCTACTTGCTGTCACATAATCCTAGAACTTCCATACCGTATTTTCTAATCTCTTTGGCGACCTTGGCAGCTTTCCCAGCTTCGCATATTGTACGAACATTCCACATCCTAATACTTATTCTTGCTTTCATAGAGAGAATGCACATCGGCTTCCCAAAGACTTTGACTTGCCAGCGTCATTTCGTTTTTTTCGGTCTCATAAAACGATAAACTCGTTAAGCTAGTTTTTTATAATTTTAATATTTTTCTTGTGCGTCGACGTTTCTGTATGGGTTTGGTTTTCCGAGGCAGGGTTGCTAGTCATACACGCAACACACAGTCGTTTCCCGGGCTTAGGACTGAATAGAAAACTGGTAAGCTAGTAAACTGGGCGAGGTTAAGTGCTTCCAGGACTTCTTGCATTATCTTCTATTTCATTAATATCTCACTGTCTCAATATCAGTGTTATAATAATTTCCTTTCTGAAGCTAAAATATACAAATAATTTTATTAATATTATTTACTAGGCACCTGGGTTGAATGTAGCTTCTGTTCTAAATGGCGTTATCTACCAAATGTTCATGATCCAACTCAACTAGACTCTGCATGGCATTGTGCACTGAATCCAAAGTACTTCAAACTGAATTCACTCCTTTCTAATTCAAAGAAATATATTTATAATCCATGTGAAGAACCTGAAGATTTAAGTGCTGCTAAAGAGGATGACGAATTTGTTTTCGGACATTTCTCTGTAGGGTCTGTGGTGTGGGCGAAGATTCAGGGTAGGTTGTTACTATTGAGGTCTGTCAACTTTCAGTTTGTTAGTTGAATAATCCTACATGAATTTCAAAATAAGCTTATTTATTAGCGCATTTCCCAAAACCGAATGTGAAATAATGCGGACACGTAAACACTCAAACTTCAAAAACAAGTATGCATTGTCTTCTATGTAAATTAGACTTCAGGTTCCTTAATGCTTATTCAGGTAACAGGTCAGATACTGCTAGTCAATAAATCTTTTTTATTTGAGGTTTTGTGAAACTAGCAGACAAACAGTATGGTCTTATGAGTTCCTTCACAAACATAAAATAACCCAGAATCAATAATTTGCTAAGTAAATTATTAAATGTGAGTAATATTATAGTGATAATAGTATTGATTACTACAATCCTACAAATCAGAAATTTCTACTGTATGATCAAAGAGTTGTGTGCAAATATGAGAGAGCCTGATTTTCTTCCGGATTTAGGTAATATATACGGTAGAAGAAAGCCAATCTTCAATAAGAAACGCTTATCTTGGATAGAAGTATTTGAATTTATACATTTATTTCATGAATAATTCCCATTCGAACATTAGTAGACAGAAGACAAGTAGTTCAGCGAAGAGTCTCTTTTAGGCGGATTCATTTTCATAGCTGTACAATCGCAAATATATATGGTTATTTTGTGTGTGTGTGTGTGTATACATTAAATTTGTCAAACGAAAATACAATTAGTAAGTTCAGATGAATTGGATGTTGATAAGAGGATAGCAACAAAAGTGATGAGTTGTCAAAAGCGATTGTTAAATAAGAGTTACGTAATGGCCTGAATAGTTTGATGAATGAGTTGTGCTCAGGGTGAACATGGAAACAAAATAATATACAGAATTACACAAGGGTTTTAAGTAAGAAAAATAAGCATACAAACAGAAGTAAGGTCAAATCAAACAGACAAAGAAAAGTTAGGTCAAATCAACGGAGTTGTTACCATGCGAGTAGAAGTGGCTGGATAATTTTCTTTTGTATGCATAGTTCTGGTTCCACCAACTTAGTGACGTCCTCAGAAGGAGAATTTCCACCTCTTTAGGAAGAACTTTCCCTGCGGCAACACTAAGAATAGTGTTCTCCAGTCGCCCGCTGATCTGCGGAAACCCAAAGGACAAAATTCCGCACATGACCACTTCTATGTGTATATATCAGTTCACCTGTTGCTGTGGAGCCAGGTACATCGGTCGTTCAACGCGCATCCTGTCAAAAAGGGTCAAAGAACACTATCCAACGTGGCTACAGAAAGGAAATAATCAAACATCTGGTCAACACTGATCATTCCATCTGACCGAACGCCTCCTTTGAAGTAATCTATAAAGTGAAGAACAACCTTCCAAAGACAGTACGATTCCGTCTTCTTTGCATCTCAGAAGCCCTAGCCATCCAGTTGGTGGAACCAGAACTATGCATACAAAAGAAAATTATCCAGCCACTTCTACTCGCATGGTAACAACTCCGTTGATTTGACCTAACTTTTCTTTGTCTGTTTGATTTGACCTTACTTCTGTTTGTATGCTTATTTTTCTTACTTAAAACCCTTGTGTAATTCTGTATATTATTTTGTTTCCATGTTCACCCTGAGCACAACTCATTCATCAAACTATTCAGGCCATTACGTAACTCTTATTTAACAATCGCTTTTGACAACTCATCACTTTTGTTGCTATCCTCTTATCAACATCCAATTCATCTGAACTTACTAATTGTATTTTCGTTTGACAAATTTAATGTATACACACACACACACACACACAAAATAACCATATATATTTGCGATTGTACAGCTATGAAAATGAATCCGCCTAAAAGAGACTCTTCGCTGAACTACTTGTCTTCTGTTTATACATTTATAACATTTTTCAGGTGAGAAATATACGCATCTATTATTTGTTAAATCAGTGCATGACTTAAGGTATTGTGTACACCGATATCAATGTCCATGAATTTGTTCCCAATGCTTGTTCTCTTTTCGAAAAGCTTCTAGTTTTTAAAGCACCGAAAATACCCACTGAGTTACGAAGAAAATAAAAGACAATCCAGCATTTTACAACGAAGAAAATTTTCTTTATCGACGAAATCATCTTCAGAGGCTGTACACAGTCGTATTTAGATTTACCAGAGATGAATAGTAGTCCGTTTTTGAGTAGTAGGGGGGGGGCGGGTGACATGACTAATGTAATCGCTCAGAAGTGCCTTCATAAGTAAATATAAAAATTGTGTGTTACGTAATACTCAACGACACAAAGGAAGAAAGCGTTAGAAATTCGATAAAGTTAGAATTGTTATTGAGTGAGAAGAAAGGTGGTTGAGTGTCCATGTAACAAGTGTGAAGAGATTGAGAAAATGTACAAAGGGAACATGTGATAGTGAACAGAACGAGAAGAAAGAGAAATATGATCCTCTTATTATCCTCAAGAATAAGAAGGATATGTACCAGTGACACAATCGATGGTGAACTGGAGAGACTCAGAAAAGTAAATAAGAAGACAGTTGCAGCGAAGAAAATTTTCTTTTCGACGAAGTCATCATCTAGGCTGTATATTCGTGTATTTATATCAAATGGATGGGAAAGTTCCAGAATCATATCCGGTCAAGGGTCAAATTAATAAAAATTAAAATTGGGAATTAGAATGCCATAATAAACAGGGGGATGGATAAAACAAACAAAGTAGCATTATAATAACTAAGAAGACTGACATTGTGAAATTAGGAGTTAGAAATGTAGAAATAACAAAATAGACAGGATGTTTGGATAAAAACTAATGTGATGAATAATAGTTTATGCAATCAGGGATTAAATATGTAGAAATAGTAAAATGACAAAATAAACACTAAGTTCGGGTATGAAAATATGGTAGTGTAAACAGGGATTAAGGAAAACTTGAAATAACATGAATAAACAGGAAGTTTAGATAAGAAAGAAGAAAGAAAGAAGACAAGTCTTCATGGAAAATGGAAATCCGTCAAGATTCATCGAGAAAAACATGAAAGTTAAGCAAAAACCTGAAAGAACTGAGACGCTGCCGAAGAAACTGCTTTTCATGAACGTTGAATTTTAAGGTGATACCACAGCTGATTCTGAAGAACCGCTGCTTATCCAGATAACTGAGAAACGCTTTCTTTTCAGCTCAGTCGAAAAATTACCAATAGATGTGTAAAGGATAAACTACCGCTTTCGGCCAATTCAGTGTGTTATAAGTTTCTAGGCTGTAGATGTTAAGAATTTCCTGGAATAATTTTAGCACCGAGACAGATCGAATCATTATAAATTATTTAAAATAATCCCAGAGTGTTTAAGAAAAAAAATCTAGGTTTGATTTTTTCTGGTTTCTTTCAGGTTTTGCTTAACTTTCATGTTTTTCTCGATGAATCTTGACGGATTTCCATTTTCCATGAAGACTTGTCTGAGTCTCTCCAGTTCACCATCGATTGTGTCACTGGTACATATCCTTCTTATTCTTGAGGATAATAAGAGGATCATATTTCTCTTTCTTCTCGTTCTGTTCACTATCACATGTTCCCTTTGTACATTTTCTCAATCTCTTCACACTTGTTACATGGACACTCAACCACCTTTCTTCTCACTCAATAACAATTCTAACTTTATCGAATTTCTAACGCTTTCTTCCTTTGTGTCGTTGAGTATTACGTAACACACAATTTTTATATTTACTTATGAAGGCACTTCTGAGCGATTACATTAGTCATGTCACCCGCCCCCCCCCCTACTACTCAAAAACGGACTACTATTCACCTCTGGTAAATCTAAATACGACTGTGTACAGCCTCTGAAGATGATTTCGTCGATAAAGAAAATTTTCTTCGTTGTAAAATGCTGGATTGTCTTTTATTTTCCAGTTTATTTGTAATATAAGCTACTTATGAGTAGACTATAAGAAATTCATGAAATGTTTAGGCAGAGATGAAGATCCCTTATTTGAAATACACCAAAATTTTTGTTCACATTTATGCCCACGGATCATCCAGAAATACTTAATTTGAAGTATGTGTAGAAATCTTAGACACATTAATGGTATGTAATTTTAAAATAATTTGTCCGCTGGATATTTATGTAGGAAAAAGACGTAAACCCAGTAAGAAATTTTGTTTTCGACTATTCATTTTCATAAGCTGCTGCACAATCGTAATTATGTTGAATAAGGAATCGATGAGACCAGTCAGATACTGGTAAAATATGTCCTCGAAAACATATTACGTAATGTGAGATGTAGTCTACAAGCGATGACTAATTGGAAATTAGAAAAAGGGGGCAGAAGTTGTCATGACGTAATAAGTGTGAGAAAATGACTAATTACTATGATTGTGCAGAGTGGACAAAAAACTAGTGGAAAGACAATGAAGTGTTTTTATAGGATCTGTTTCAAAACGCAATGTTATTGATGAACAGTAATTGAGTGATGATAAAACAAGGATGATGATGATGATAATAATAATAGTAAACTTAGATAATAAAAGGAAGCAAAATTTTAGTAAGAACATTCCTCTGGCCACGGTAGAGCGACTGAATGTACGTGGTGCTTTTGAATGCAGAGGTCCGGTTTCAGGTCCCGAGTAGCCAATGATTCGGCTATGAACAGGTATCGTATTCGAAGTCCTTTCGTACGATATTGAGACAGCAGTACTGTGAAGCAATCAAGCGGAGATGCTCGATGTCAAGAGCTGACAAGATGTTGAAGGACCTCTGCATTCAAAAGCACCACGTACATTCAGTCGCTCTACCGTGGCCAGAGGAATGTTCTTACTAAAATTTTGCTTCCTTTTATTATCTAAGTTTACTATTATTATTATCATCATCATCATCCTTGTTTTATCATCACTCAATTACTGTTCATCAATAACATTGCGTTTTGAAACAGATCCTATAAAAACACTTCATTGTCTTTCCACTAGTTTTTTGTCCACTCTGCACAATCATAGTAATTAGTCATTTTCTCACACTTATTACGTCATGACAACTTCTGCCCCCTTTTTCTAATTTCCAATTAGTCATCGCTTGTAGAATACATCTCACATTACGTAATATGTTTTCGAGGACATATTTTACCAGTATCTGACTGGTCTCATCGATTCCTTATTCAACATAATTACGATTGTGCAGCAGCTTATGAGAATGAATAGTCGAAAACAAAATTTCCTACTGTGTTTGCGTGTGTTTCGTATGAGTCAATATGGGATATGAACAATACAAAGAAAGAGGATTGTTCAATCTACAGTTTTCTACTTTTCCAAGAAACCAATCTTCATGGAATTAAATTTGAAGTATTTACAGACGTATGTCATTTCATCAGTCAATATTAGCAAAAATGTTTTAAATATCTAATTACTGAATAGTTAAGTCTTTTTAAAACTGGTTGTTATAACATTTAAATTATTATTTTTTTGTTAGGTTATCCAGACTGGCCAGCTATGGTTTATTACAACTGTCAAGGGAAATATGCTGAACTGGATCCACAAAGTAAAGAGGTGACTTATTACTATGTAGTATTTTTGGATCCTAAATGTTCAACAATGAGTCGGGTACAATCGAATAAAGTGCATAAATTTACTACATTCGATGAAATGGACCTTAGTAAAGTTGTAAGTTGAATGCGCCTTATCTTTTCATCCAGTACTCATTAAGAGAATTCTTCCAAATGAAGTAATTAGTTATGTGTGTAATTAGATTTACTTTAAAGTGTATTTTGTTACCGATGAATTATATGTGTCTATCTCTTGTCCATCACTTTATAAGCAACTTAAACACAATTGCGTTTGATAACTTCATCTACAGGCATGTTACAGGTAACGTAACAACCAAATTTATTCACTTATGGTCTCAACACAAGAAACTGATCTCCATGTTCTACTGCATTGTAAGCCGACAAAACTTCGTTGGGCCACGCACTATCACGCACGGAAAAACGTGTATTCTTCAATATTTTAGTAGAACTATTAAACAGTAGTAACAACAAACCCAAATCTGCCTTAAAAGTGTCCTGATGCAGCTATACAAGCAAGGTGTGTTTTGACTACAAAACAAGTACTGTAAGACAGAATTAGTTAACTAATGTTCAGCTGTAAAAGGTACCTTATAATCGAACAAAATATTCTCAATGAGGTGAGATTAATAGCTCCGTTCATAAGAATCACACACCAAGGATTCTCGTAGACAGTCCCGGATCACAATGACCTGCATTCACTCAAACAAACTCATATAGTTAAACAACATACTACGTGTACATACCATCGCAAAGAAGTATTGCAGTTAAAGATTAAACAAGGAAAAAGGCATCAACATATCATATACAAACATTAAAATAATGATAAACAGTCAAGGGGAAATACAAATATTATGAATAGATCGTCCAAGAGGGATTTCCCAAAATGATTTATCCATTACAGGCATTGTAAAGTATAAATTATTTTGTGGTCAAAACAATCTTATTAACAGATTTTATGTAGTATTGTGGAATTTTATGCATATAATGATATCTACATGTTTAATCTGCTGAGATTAGACGTCTCGTCAGAGACTGACTTCATGCTAGGAACCGCTGAAAATTAAGAGAAACTGAAGAAATGTTCCATACTAAATTAGGAGCCCTCATCAGTAAACGATGATTTCTCTAAGGGTAGAACCTTGAATTATTAGGCCTCAAGATAAGCAATTTACTCTTCATACATTGAATTTCGATCCAGTTCTCCACGATTTAAAGTTATGTTAGTTCACAGTATGATGAACCATCCATTAATGAGCAGTTGTTCTCATATCAAGCTAGTTGTATGCATTGGTTTCATCATCTGTCATACATCTATAAGAACTTCGTCTTGCGAAATGCTGATACAATTAAGTTACAAAGCCCTGTCTACTGCCTCTGGATTTGTAAACAAGGAAAATTAGCCACTTAATACTGGTGAGTAATTAACAAGTGTCTATCAGATCATATAATTGTATGTAAAGTGGACCAAATCAGAAATAGGGATATAACACATCGAACTTGAATTCGGTATTTTAAACTATCATCTGAATTCAAGAATAGAAAATTTATAATACTTATAATTAAGTTGATAGTAAACGATTTAAGCAGGCTATATTTGACATATTTCTGCCTCAGTATGTATTCATTCTAGTTTTATTTACTCCTTTGCTTATAAATTCAGCCTAAACGATTTTGGAAAAGGCTACAGGCAGCGGGACAAGAGGCTGAAAGTGCCCTGCTATTAAGTGTAAAGGTGAGAGATTGGTTGTATGAGTTCTCACTGTTTCTTTTTTAACCTTATTGGTACTAGGATGGTTGATTCATTCAACTGTTACTTCAACACAATAACAATATACTACGGATTACGTGAATACTATTCTCAAACTGAAAAAATCAAAGACTTCTTTATCCATACAAAAGACAATATCTAATTGAATTTAGATTTTCCCGTTGACTGATTGGACCAAAGGGCTTGGTCTCAGATTGACATGTCAGCCCTAATGCAGATGCTTTGACGATGTCTGCTCATGTAACTTGAAATCAATTCATGGATGGTGGCTAGCAATGGTTTCGAGCCTCGGTGGGAACACCACCACTGACTCACTGGGGAATGGAGGTACATTCATATGACGAGTCCCAAACAGGACGAAGTGCGCGTAAACCTGGATTCCAATGATAGTAAATATCCACCATTTGACTTCAGAAGACATTATCACTAAGAGGTACAATTATTTATATAGTTCTTTTACATAAACAATAAGTTACTAGTTTCCGATGTAAGAAATTACGTTTTAGCTGGCTTTTGCATGTACCGATAAGAATCTACTGGCTTAAACTTGAGGTCAAATGTCTGGTTCACAGGTCATGCAGTAAAAGTAAATCGATATATCGCCTCTTGATCTAACACTCCCCGGATTACTTAAAGATATTTGGTTTGTCATCGTGCTAACTCAACAGTTTCGCTATAATATTTTTGTGTGATTTGCATAACTTTTTCATTTTATTAAGATTTATTGGATAATATTTCCTATACTTCAGGCTTTTGTTGTTGTTTTTGTCAGTGACCCATTCACTCAATAATAATTAAGGAAAGAAATGCTGAGCTGCCGCAGTACAACTTGTTGAGTCAGCTCTTATTTAGCTAGGAGAAATTTTTCATTGGGTGGTTCAGTAGTCAGATGCTGATTAACCACGCATGTAGTTCGGGCTTCAATTACCGATCGATGCACTCTTAGACCTCACCTTAATCGCTAGCCGGTAGTTAGGTCAGTAAAGGGGTAAGGTTAGAAACGATGCCAGCGAACCCACGCAATAAAAACATAGTTCCAGTAAACAGTCTTCAGAATTAAGCATGGAATTTAGATTTATGATAAGCAGGGATATAACAAATAAAACTTTTCTATGAATTCCTGTGTACAAAAATTCGTGCATTTTATTATTCTGTGTGTCTGAATACCACGATGGACCAGATCAATTAAATTGAGTACGTGAATTCACGTAAGAGAGAAGTAGAATTAAACCACCAGCAAGCTAACAATAACATGAAAAATAAAAAAAAACACTTATTGATCTTTTGTACATTTTGTCTTAGGATAGAATAGCCACATTTGGATATGATCATGACTATGAGGATATCAAAGTGAAGGTAAGAGTTAAGGTAATATTAAAAGATTTTATATTTTCATTACCTTGTCTATACTACTAAGTGCAAACCGTGATACAGTATTTTGTTCTACAAATGACGTATGTAATATATATATATATATATATTGCATACGTAATTATTTGGCCTCAAACAAAGGGAATTCAGGCAAGGCAAAGAATGTTCTCATCGAATTGCAACTATACACATCGTCATCACAGAACAAAGCATAGAATGACAGTGAAATCTATCTATCTATCTATCTATCTATCTATCTATCTATCTATCTATCTATCTATCTATCTATCTATCTATCTATCTATCTATCTATCTATCTATCTATCTATCTATCTATCTATCTATCTCAACTTCATTGCCTTCGAAAAGGCCGTCGACAGACAGTGTTGATCGAGAATTAGTTTGGAAACTATTTCAGCACTATAGCGCGCTGTGACCAAATCTGTATCAGCCTCATTCAACCTATGGGTATATGACAATGCCGTGTGTCTGGTGATCCGCAACGGAAAACCCAGCGAGGCGTTCGAAGTGAATACAGGAGTAAGACAAGTCTGGCTGGTTGGCTGATGCCTGACTATTATCACCGATGATATTCCCAGCTGTGGTGAACTGACTGGATTAGGCGGCAGATTGTATGTGGTGAGCGATACGACAGGAATACGCTGGACGACCGATGAGGAGACTCTAGGAGATCTGGATTTCGTGTCTGAATGATTTATGACTGATGTCACACAAACTCGAAGACTTGTAAGCAGACGAGAACCAACAAGCTGGCTGAAGAGGCGAGTAGCGAAATCAGGACTGCAGGTGAACTCAGAGATGCACGGAGGTGATGCGGATAACCAACCAACCAACCAACCAACTAACAGCAACAACAATCAGCACCAGTCACTATCAACAGAATAAATTTGAAAGCCGTCACTTCCTTCCCTTGTCCACAAAGTCAACATCGTTTCAACTACAGGTTAGGTGATCGGATGAAGATGTCAAAGCCAGTCAGACAGCCACAGTCGGAAAGACAAAACACACCTTCATCAACCTGAAACTAGTTTCGAAATCGTCTGCACTCACTCAGCCAGTATAAACAACGAGATTCGGATTCTGTTCAACACAAATGTGAAGTCAGTCAGTCACTTCTTCTATATGGGTCAGAAACTTGCACTGTGTGTCACGAAAGGCATTTCCAACAAGCCATTGCAGACTTTCATCAACAGATGCCTTCAATTTCGTTCACTTCGCTGGTTGGCTGCATACTGAATATCAACTCCATGGGCGGTCGTCCGATTAGAAACAATTACCAATTACCTGAAAAGAATCAATCAAGGTTCGATCGCTCAACAAATATGTCGAAGGAAATGGAGATGGGTTGATCGGGCATACGCCACTGCGAATTCCGTCGAATGACATCGCGCGCAATGTATGTCACTCGTTGTTCGAGTGGAATCCGAATGGGAAGCGACGAGTGGGTCATCAGTACGGGGGTGGCATGGAGGAGATCCTGACTCAAGTAGTAGTAGGAGGAGGAGATTAGAGATTGTGGGTAATCGTGGGATGAGTCTGTCGCAGAGGAGAGCAGAAGGTGGAACGAAGTGGAGATGTGTTGTTGAAGCTCTTTGTCTACTTGGAATAATGATTATAGATAATTTATGTAGTTTACTTCGCATCGGTATAAACATTTTAGACGAAATATGCATCTGGCAATTAGATATCGATTCACAATAGTCCAGGTAGTAAAATTAAATTGACATGGTATATTAAAGGCGTTTACATTCTTATTAATATATGAGTATAATGTTGAATTATTATTATTATTATTATTATTCAGGCCTTACTAATGTAAACAAACGGTATAAAGTACATTTTTCTTCTTCTCCTTGTAATCTTTAAACGTAAACAAAAGATAATGAATTCCTTTCAGTTATTTTATTATTTTATAATTCTCATGTAATACTTTTATCATTCTATTATTATCGTTATTATTGTTATCATTAATATAAGAATGTTTTCTTCGTTAAACAAGAAAACAAAAACTCAATATATTGCATACAATCTGTTCAATGGATAGTGTAGTGGTGGTAATCAGAGTAATGTATTGCTTATACGATGTGTGTGTGTCTGTGTGTGTGTGTGGCATATGGGTTGACATCTTCGAAGCATAAGAGGAAGAAGGAGGAAGGATCATTCACGTGCGAATGGAAAAGTCACTAGAGAAAAAGAAACCGCGAGAAGGTTACAGTTCTTAGAAGAAACTACGAAGCGACTAACAGTGAAGAAAATACAAACACACTGGATCTGTTGTCTGTGTCTTGATCTCTACAGTTGTTGTAATAGTTATTTGGAGCAAAAAAACAGCAACACATAAGTCAAGCAATATTATTACTTGATGAAAACCGGCTTGCTTTATAGTGTAAAGTACACATTAAACCTGCTTGGAATTCTTTGAAATCTTCACAAAAAGTGACATTTGCTTACAAGTTAAATTATAATATGTGGGAATATCAACTTGATTAAGACCATAGAGTCTTTTATGCTTCACTTATCTCCTAAGCAAATCACAATTTAGTGCCTATCAGTGAGGTAAACGTCTCGAAGTTCCATTGAGAAATTGCAGTCAATGGGATAAGTGAAATCAGATCAACTAATGATACAATCAATGACTGACTTCATTGGACACTGGCCACACTATGCTGCTAATTGACAGAATTTGACATATATAGGCTGTTGAACAGTGGTGTCATGATAGAATTAACAGACTTGTGGATACATATCAAATTTATCAACTAATAAAATATATGTCACATGTCTAGAATGTTAAATATTAGGCCATCGAGATTAGTAACAATATAAATGGACACAATCATAATCACAGTGAACTTTATCAGGAGAAAAGAAAATTTCATCTGTGGAGAATTATCGTAGTTTACTTCACATTGAAGTAAACACTGAAAATGTTGTATAGAAGGATAACTAAAGCTAAGTATTTAAACCATTCAGCTTTAAAGAAAAAACGCCAAAAACATCAGGGTAGACTGTAAATCTTCACTACTACTTTAAAGCAGTGATGCACCCGTACGGTGAGACTTAATATTTCTGGGCTTAATTATTTACGTGGTTTTATGCACACTAGATATATACACATGTCTCAATAATCTTAACAACCAAAAATCTTTTATGTCCGGAACTACGACCTAGTAGACTGCGGGTGAATACTAACTTTAATTCGCTGGCTAATCTGTGATAATTGTACGACGACAACAACAACAACAATAACCTACGAACAATAACAATAATACCGCAAATATAACTTTATAAATGAATACCGCACTATTTATTTATGTGTGTGATACATCTCATAAGCAAACTAATATAAAATAATGCAGCCGGGCTACAAAAAGATAGAAGAGAGGACTGGACGTTAGTATGAGAGCTTTTACTGTCTCAAAACAACAATAAAAAAGATTGAAAGTGTTTGTGTACATATCTGTTTAAAATGACCATAAGATGCCTTATTGTCATTGATAAATGATAAACAGTGAACAACCAATAGGATTTGAAAGGTCATAAGTAGGTGAAAGAAAGTCAGGTCAAAAATCAATAAGTGGGGTGAGAGAAGTACAAACAGACAAGTGTAGAAACGACGTATAGATAATTAGGTCTATCTATCAAAATCAAATCAGCGTTGCTGGCTTTTACTGATTTTATAGGTGAACTCTAGACATGGCGGAAAAAGTTTCATCAATTTACACTATTCAAGATAAAATCTGTCGAAATTCACTTGTAAATGTAATAATAATAATAATAATTTACTTTATTCCAAAAACAGTACTTGTGATACAGAATGGAATTTTCAGCATTAATCACAATATTGCATCTAATTTCCTCAAATTATAAATAAAATTAATCACACAGAAAATTTTCCACATTTACAATAGAGGTAGTGTCAAAAACATGCAGCATATAAAATGGAAATAGCAATAATAATGATAACAGCTAGGGTAATAATAATAAGAATACAAGTGAAAATTGCCGTTGGCTTGTGTCACACAGTATTGGCAATGTGGTATAGAAATCCTAACATGTTTAAAAATATTGAATATAATGTTCTTTTACATGATATGGTGAGGGGAAAAACAAAGATTACAGCCGTCATGGAGATAAGTTGGTGTTTGCAATTATGAGAGTAAAACAGAGAAGTAACAGGACCATAAATATAATAGAAATAATAAAAGTAAAACTTGAAGGTATATAAGGATGGATGGAGGAAATTGTTTATTTACTAGATGAAAAAAGGTTAGTTAATTCTTGCCTGACACTATTTTCATCACATAAAATACGTGCCAAGTATGGTATCATAGAATTCTTATACTTAGACGTGCGAGCATACAGTTTTCTGAAGTTACTCCTTGTTCTACCTGAGGAGATGCAAGGTGAAAGCTGAGGGTAAAGCGGATGCTCCAAGTCAGACAAAATCCCTTTAGCAAATTTATTGCACGAAGTCAAATGCCTATCGACAACGACGTTAACTATGTGGTCCACTGGGACACCACTCACCCTACTGACAGTCTTCAGTATTCTACGAATTGTGACATAGTCCTTTTTAAGCAAACCAGGAAAGAATAAGGGTGAGCAATAAAGAAGAATAGGTAGGATGCAAGAGTTTATGAACTGTAAGAGGAGGGGTTGAGTTATACCCGAGTGTCTTAACTTCTTAATGTAAAATGTCAGGCGGAATATTTTACTGGAGATTGCTAAGACATGGGAAGACCAGGAGAGATCAGAAGAGAGAATGAGTCCAAGATACTTAATTTCTGATTTGATTCCTATATCATTGTCGTCAATTTTACAACTGTCATGAGAATCGATGACTTCTTTTAACTGTCGTTTACATCTTAAGCTGAAATCAACAGTTTGACACTTAGAAGGATTCAGTTTAAGACCGTTAGACTCAGACCATTTGCTGACTTCCGATAGAAAGCTATTTATTTTAGTACAATCTAGCTGGGAGTTAACAGCCATTGAAACCGTTAAATCATCAGCGTACTTCACAAAGTTTATTTCATCAGAGTGAGGCAAGTCATGCAAGAAGAAAGAAAAAAGAAAAGGAGAAAGAACAGCACCTTGAGGGACACCAGCTTCAGTAGGCAATGAAGTGGAAGACTTCCCTTTATATACGGTGTACTGCTTTCTATCTGAGAAATAGGAATGTAACCAGTTAACAGCCCAACATTCTGTTTGACTAGCAGCAAGTTTATTTAATAAGATGTCCCTAGGGACCGAGTCGAAAGCAGATGTATAGTCTAGGAAGGCGCAACGAACAAATTTAGCCCCCTTGTCTAGACTGGAAGCAATGTTATGATATAAGACGGCAGCTGCATCTAAAGTGCTTCTACTGTGCTTATAGGCAAATTGTTTAGGGTCATTAAAGGATTTAAGCGAAGGTACAAGACTAAGTAAAAGTAATTTCTCCATAGTTTTCAAAAAAGGAGAGGTAATAGCAATGGGTCTAAATTTGACACATGCTCCAGTAGATGATTTAGGTATGGGTACAACTTTAATGTCCTTCCAAACGGCAGGCACAATATTATCGGAAAAAGATTTGTTAAATAGATCAGTAAGAGGGTGACACAGAATATCAGAACATTTTTTAAAAATAATACTAGGTACATAATCGGGACCTAAGCTCTGGGAAGGGTTTAGAGACTTGAGGCACTTTTGAACATCATTTGTGTTAAAACCTGGAAAGGGGCTATTATTAACACAAGTGATGCTGGGAAGCATGGCATTTGAGGGAGAGTAAATAAAAGATTTGTTAAGAGTACATACATCAAAAGAATATGGAATATTGTTTATCTGCTTACCACCAGTGATTTCCTTAAATAGTTTCCACATATTAGAAGGATTTTTGCAGGATATGAATTTCTGGTTATATATTACATTCAACCTCTGCATTTCAGACTTAATTAAGAAGTTAGTTCTTTTTACACCACTTTTATCTTTCATCTTATACAGTTTTTCCTTCTCTCTACGAAGCTTTTTAAGTTGAGGCGAGGAGAAACGGTCAAATTTGACGAATAGTGTTTCTTTTGGACAACAGATTTCAAAACAGAATTTCAGATAGGATGTAATATTAGAGATATTGTCATCAAGTGAATCATCATTAAACAAATCCCATCTTGTGTCACTGAGCATGTTTCTAAGATGATGTACGTTCTCATTTGAGTAGCATCTGTGAACAACTTTCTTAGACAAGTTTGAGAGGGCTTTACTGTGTAACTTTCCGTAAATTTTGGGTAAGACTCGTACAATACAATGATCAGAATTGAAGAGCGGGGCTCTTTTACGAGCTTCGTATATTCCAGAATCATTTATAAATACTAAATCAAGTGAAGTATTTTGTCGAGTTGGGAAATTAACAACATTTTCATGGCCCAGCAATGTAATAAAACTGCAGTCGCTGGAGTTGAAGTCGCCAGTCACTATAGATAAGGAGTTACCAAACGAAGCAGCAGCAAAAATAGTGAATTCATCAGCGAAGATAGATAGTTCTGAGGGACTGCAACAAGGTGTGATATAGATATTTGTGACAAAAATGAAGCTATACTTAGGTAAGTGTTTAGGTCGACATTTTACAGTTATACAGTCAATATTGTCATTTGAGAATTTGAAGCAGACGTTGTTGGCAGTAGACCACTGAGAATTAATAAAAGTGGCAACACCACCACCTCTCTTCTTCTTTGAGCTGCATCGGTCTTGTCTGTAGATTGTGAACCCACTTAAGGAGACTAAATTATCGTCATATGAATCATGGAGCCAAGTCTCTTGAAGAGTGATTACACCAGTATTACAATATACATTTGAGTATAATAGAGAATGCAAGTAGTTAATCTTGTTCGATAATGACCTGCAATTTGTGCTCATAATCACAGGAACAGTCATCTGATGTTTCGATAAAGAAAGGAAGACGAAATTTGCAGTATAAAATGATATCATTCTATTTCACAGGTTCTCATCAGCTGCAGACTACCTGAAATTACAATGGTTATATAGATGATAATAACATACTTTAATGTTCGAGTGGTGGTAGAAAAGAGATACTATAAAATTGACGCATCTAAATGAAAGCATTACAATGTTTTTAGTTTAAGTTTTCATCATCAATTTATACGCTTTTAAAGTTGAAAAGAGGGGGAGGGGTAAGAGAGGAAACAGAAAAAATTGATTAACAGGACAGTGTTAGCTTTTAGGTTCACATAGCAACTCAAAAAACAAAAACGGTTACAGTTTATGAGATTAAGATTTGTTCAGTGAGTTGAGATCACTGAATTAGATGACTAATCAAAATCAAAATTCTGTTACCAAGGGAGTGAGAGGTTAATCACACTCTCTTTCTGTATGCATAAGTCTGGTTTAAGTCTTTTGATTGCGATTGCTTCGGCAAATCGTGGTAAATTTGCTGTCCTTTGTCTATTTATTATTTTGAAGGACTTAGAAATCTCTACGAGATGTCCGGTATCAATAATGTGTCTGGTAATTGCACTCTGGGAATATCTGCTTCCTTTCAGGCACAGGTTTTTGGGAATATGTTCAGAAAACCGGATAGAAGCCCTTCTTTCTTTCCTTCCAATGTACTTGCTCCCGCAAGTGCACGTGAATTCATAAACGCAGTTGGAGGTGACATCAACAGGGTATTTATCCAGTTTTGAGTGGATTAAAGAAGGAGTGGTGCTGTATACTGTTATGAGTTTTGCTGCTGGGAAGCTTCTATTTATTGCACCTTTCAGTCTTTTGTCAATCTTTTGTGACATTGCATCTCCTTTGTATGTTAGACAGATAAACACTTTTTTCTTTTCTACAGTTGGATGCTTTTCTTTCTCATCTTTTTCTCTGCTGTACTTCTGAATAAATCCCTTAGGGTATCAATTTCCCTTAGGCATTTCTCGACGAAAACTGGTTCTTCTTCGACCCTGTTTGGTGAACATAGCTTCCTGGCTCTGTCATACAAAGTCCTCACTAATCCACGTTTATAGCTTATGGGACAAAAGCTGTTATAGTGAAGATATTGCCCAGGCCAGGGTTCTTTTCTATAAATGGACTTTTCGACCGTGCCTTCGTTTGTTCTTTTTACATTTAGGTCCAGGAAATTGAACTCTATTATGTTCATATTCCATGGTGAATTTGATTGGAGTACACTTTAATGATCTCTGCCACCCACCATGATGCTTTTTCTTAACGTTATTATATACTCGTAAATCAACAGGTTGAAAATATTTTAAATAATCGCGAGAGTAAGTAATGAGACTTGGATACATAATTAAAACAAAATAAATCCGAGGAAATAGATGCAATATGTAGGATGGAAATTTTGGTAGCCCAAGATTTAAGCAGGCCGCCTTACTAAATTGAATACCACAGTTACTAGTCATGTTGGCTTTGAAATAGGTGTCATAGGTGAACTAGCGTTTACTTCATATTTAAATTCTGAACATTTTACTACTGTTTGCTTTTTTTAGAAGTGGCCTTCTCATATCTTCTTCTTCAGTTGCTTCTAAGTAACGATATTATTTCTTTCTGTTGCATTGCTGCATACGGGCTTGAAAACTTCCAACTTTGCTTTCCTCTCGTTATTTAGCTGTAACAAGATGCAACTGTTTAACAATCTTACACTTCTGTCCAGTATTTGATGGACTACGCCTATATTAGATGGCTGGAGGCAATCGACAGGAAGCCTTACTCGTTCTTGTTTGTATTCATCAGTCAGAAAAGCGTATCTGCAATCTTCAAGGAACTCATATCCCTTCTGAGATTCTACCCCGTGTCAACCAGTGCCGCCTGCAGTCAAAGATGTTACCACTGAGAAGATATTCAGGCTCGTGACTGACCTCGTGTAGGAGTGTATTGGATATTTTTGATTGGAAACTAGTCAGTAACTAGTGTAATGTGTGTGGTCCTAAGTTTGGTGCAGACTGAATTGTGTCAGTGAAGCGCACCGTGTTAGCGAGCCACTTAGAATGGTGGCCACATTGCAAATTTTGACTGATAGAATTTAGTTCTCACCAAACAAAGGACTAGACACACTACAATAGTCCCTAACTAGTGTCCAATCAAATGACAACACCTGTTTTATTACAATAAGTAACGCACTATTTGAATCTCAGCAATTTTTTTTAGAGTAAAAAAGGAATTGAAACTATTACCTGTTGTAATGAATTAGTCTGTTTACATTTATTCAGTTTGTTTCATCGTTTTACTGGTGATTTCGAAACAGAATGAATTTTACAAAGCAAAGTTGTTTACTGCTAATCTCATGACCGATTTCGTTGTGTTAGTTTATAGGGATCTGATTGGTCTCAAGTTTGATCACAGACTAATATGAGTTAGAGAACCATTAATAACCAGCGACACTAGGCGGCCATCTTGCCCTACTTTTGAACTCTTCAGAGGTACATCTCCACGATCCCTACAAACTAACACTTATAAATGAATCTGATGCTCTGTAGTGGCTGGCTTCAGGACAATTTTGCCCAGATTTCTACTGAGAAGTCTTGACCAGTGAAGACTACCGGGTTGGGTGTGAGGACAAATACTCAATAGTGATATTAGTTGGCAATGGTTTTAAAAATCGTGAATTCATGGAAGTTAGAACTCATGAGCCGTTAAATTATGTCCCACTGGGTGAATGGTCAACGAGCTCTCCTTGTAAGCTGAAGGCTGTGTTCAATCCGTGCTAGAGTCAAGAGTGAGTTCTGCTGATGTGTCCAAACTAGGTCTAAACAGTTTTCCATTACTCCCTGGTTGTCAATACGATCAAACTTGAAATTATTTTTGTACTGTATACTACAAAATAGATGATGTGAAGTATTTTATTGCGTGTAATATACTGATTTATGTGTAGTATTATGTGATTTGTCGGGAACTACAACTTATGAAGTATATATTTTATCAGTTAGTGGAAAATTATTACTACTTTTTTGTTTAAATTATAGAACTATATTCCAAAATTAACAACAACTTACCAAACAGAACAAACATTTCAGAAATGTATTGTAACCAATGTTAAGCAGAAAAGGATTTGTCGACGGAGATTACCTAAAGTTTCTGTATATCCAGCCGGAAGAATTGAGAATTCATTCGATGCTAATCATGGTTACTCTTCAAATAATGTTCATAAAAATATCAAAGTAAGCAATTCATTTGATGTACGGATTAAATGAAATTCAAATTACGGTTAATATTTCACCAAATTAGTTAATTAGTGTATTCCCAAAAGCATACGTAGGGATCATTCTTCAGATGGACATCCATCGAAAAATCCAGAGTAACATATACCACTGGGGGTGGGGTTTCTCGTGGGAAGTCGCGATCAGTAGGGTACAGCAGGTCAGGCATGAGGACAAATACTCGCCGATTACATAGAATAGCTGTCGCGTCATATCATGGATTGGCGGAATTTGGAATTCATGGACTGGCCAGTGGATCGGTGGGGTCCCAGTGGCTTAGTGGTCTACGAGCTCGTTAGTCTTGTAACCAGAAGATCTTGGGTTGGAACCACGGTGGGTGTGGTTGCGCACCACAAACTAGGATGAAACAGATGGTTGTCCTGTAATTCCAGCTGTTTTTCTAATGGTTCTGTAACCAATTTCAGCTCATAATGAAATCCTGTAACCAATCAATCAACTCCCTACAAATCAATACGTGAAAATATACCACAAAGTCATTTTTAGTAAAATTTCACCTGTCTGAGATTAGATTACCACTTATAACAGGCAGATCAAATAAAAATATGAAATATTTACATGGTTAAATTAGACTCGCAATTCATTTGTGACGTGGACTGATAAGATCTATCAGTAGTATATATGAAGAAATATTCATCGGCTCAAAAAAAACATCAAATAGCACGGAGATAGATTTGATATCAGTGAAAGCAAATGATGCAGCATTGTACAGATACATGAGAGACGTGAAAGGAACACAGAGAAACACAATATAAAGGAAGAACAGAAGTAGCACAACACAGAAGATCTGTGCAAATGATGTGCTGAAGATAAGATGTTCAAAATTTGGTTTTATAGAGATACCAAGTTGTAAATAAACATTCCTTTGCAAAGTCTCTCGTATTCTACTGTTACACTTTGTGAACAACAAACATTTTCGTTGGTTCTTTGTTCGAATTAATCAAAGGATCTGGTTGTATGTAATAAGTCATCTTGTATAGGATTGTGCTAAGGGAATGGCTTTTTTTATTATTATTTTTGGATTTAAGGGCTATTAATTGCAACACAAACCATCATACAATATTTACCAGAATTAGTTATTGGTTAACTAGTAACTATTAGTCGTTAATTCACGTGAAGGAATTCAGTCAGTAAAACTGACCGTCTTCGTTCTACCTATTCGAGTAATACTGAAAGGAAATCGAGGCAATTTTGTTTTACAATGACTTATATGTGTGTTCTAAGTAATTACTTTTTGTAGTGATAGTAGAAATGAAGTCTTTTAAAAGTTACTCAGCATCTTTCAGCTTCAATTTTCTGACGGACTGAATATGATTGCATAATTTCAAATGGGTATATATATATGTCTTTTGTGGTGTATTCAAAAAATGATCTATTGGTTATTGATAATCATACCATTTAGGTTATTGTCTTATAGGTGTCATATACTAGATGGTTAGACTGGGTGAGAGTCTCTTTAATTTATATTGTTAGTGTGCAACTCACTGAAGCTTATTGACCCAAATACTCGACTTACAACTAATATGTGAGTTCCGAGTTCGAATCCTCTCAAAGTAATGCAGCCTGGGCAATAATTGCGTGATATTATTATCCTTTTCACAAAATAAATGTGTCTCATATTCTGGTACATTTTAAAATCTATGCTGGGTGATTAAAAATCTGAAGTGTTGTGAATATTCCAGAAAAAAACGAATTATTTGAGTGCTTCAGCTAATTATTCATCATTACATTTCACACATACTTTGAAACACTCATCCATCTGTTTATCATATTCATTCTCTATTAGAACTCATAAATATTCGTATACCATTGCGCTGTACTAATCTTTTATGTTTTATTTTAAATGGGAGTGATTACTGGTCAATGCTCACATGAAATGTTATTGATATGTATCCATATATATATATATATATATGTGTGCGTATGATGATCTCTCTTTCTGTTTTGCTCGCTTAGTCTGTGACCATTTCACTTTGATGAACCCGTCTCCTTTAACAATGTATATTCTCCTTATATTATATATAATATAATATGAGTGTTTGTTGACAGTCCGTTGCTTGGTGACATATATCCATATATGGTGGTTGTTGACATGTCTGCTATATTTCGCTATGCATATATGGATCGATACTTCATTATAATTAGCCATTCATGTTAAGACTGTCTATTGATTTGTTCACACACTTGTCTGGATGGTCATATATATTTCGCTCACACAATCTTGTGTGACTTACCCACTTTACTTACTTTGGTGTGATACCACTTTTGCATTCTCCTTGTGTTTGGAAAATAGAAGTATCATCACAAACCTAGTGGTCTTCAGATTTCCGCCTTCTTGCGTCAGGACTATTAAATTCTCGACCAGTACATAGCAATAATTTGGCGACGAGTACATAACAATTTGGCGACGAGTACATAACAATTTGGCGACGAGTACATAACAATTTGGCGACCGGGAAAACTATTATTAACCACTCAGCAGCAGCAATATAACAGTTATAAATATCAATTCCTCACCAAGTTACTGAAGAGTTGTCACCAGTAGAATACTAACACTTTCATAGGCCATTTACTATAAATAATGCAACATTTTTATTGGGACAATTAAGAGTTTTGAGTCAGTTGCTTATCAGTAAGAAATAATAGCTCCCTGAGGTGTCATTGGTAGTCATCTGATATTTCTGGTTATTACGTTACACAGACTAAGTGATAATTATCTTCACGTAAGTATATACAACTGCAATACAAATGAGAAGTCAGCTCTTATATATGGGTCAGAAACTTGGCGTTCGCGTCACAAAGAGCATTTCCAACAGGTTGCGGACATTTATCAACAGCTGCCTTCACTTGCTCCTTAGGGAAGATAGGACGGCGGGCCAGAAAGAATTACAAACAAGAAACTCTAGCCTGAAAAGAATCAACCAAGAGCTGATTGCTCAACAAATATGTCGAAGGAAATGGAGATGGGTTGATCGGGCATACGTCACTGCGAATTCCGTCGAATGACATCGCGCGCAATGTATGTCACTCGTTGTTCGAGTGGAATCCGAATGGGAAGCGACGAGTGGGTCATCAGTACGGGGGTGGCATGGAGGAGATCCTGACTCAAGTAGTAGTAGGAGGAGGAGATTAGAGATTGTGGGTAATCGTGGGATGAGTCTGTCGCAGAGGAGAGCAGAAGGTGGAACGAAGTGGAGATGTGTTGTTGAAGCTCTTTGTCCACTTGGAACCCAAGAGAATAACAGTAATAATTATATAGTGATAAGAAATATTTGCAAACTCATCAAAAAAACGAATTATCTGTTGAACAAGGCGTCAATGATGTAGTTTACCATACTATTGATTATCGTTTCAGCTTTATGGTCTTATCGAAAACATTTTCATACTGTTGGGCGGGTCCACTGCTAAACAGTGAAAATAGTTCATGTTCGATTCGACCACTAACTGATAACAGATGCATACTAATTTTCCAGTTGGTCATTATTATTCTCTGTTCTTTTCTCGTTTGAGTGAATTCATTTGGTTTTATTTCCTCCTGTTTCTGTCAATAGGATAAATCTCAAGTTAAAAATGCTTCACAGCCTTCCCATGTTATACTGGAATGTACTGAAACAAATGTGAAACGAAAAAAACGACAGAAAGTAAAAGATTCTGATATTTCGCCGTGTTTAACAAATAAACTCAAAAATAATCAGACGGAAAATACAGCCAGCGTCGTTTACACTAGTCACATGAAGGTGAGTTATCTGAGGTGTCATCAAGTGAATTATTTAACGGATTTTCCTTTTTCATTCCTTGCATTTCACGTGGAACACACAGCCTCAAGCTTTCGATGTCTGAGTAGAAGTAGTGGTATGGTGTTTGTACGAGATGGGATTGCTGGCCTCATGTCCAAGCCTCTTTCTTTCCCAAATTTACTACTAGCTAGTAAACCACGTGAAAAAGGTAACGCCTTTGATAAATCTCTAGGAACACTGCACATATAATCCTAAATAAGTAGTCTAAACATTCTTTTGTCTTCCTGTTGTTACGCAGAGATGTTCTTTTGCGTTTACAACGAAATGAACCATAGGTGTGGTGAAAATGCTGTACTAATAGGTAAAACAGAAAAAAGAAGGATATTTTACTACCTCCAACCACCTAATATCATCTATTCAAAATGCACCATGATGATGAGCCATCTAGATTGTTGGCCACATTGCCAACGTGACCGATAGAATTCAGTCTGCACCAAACTTAGGACCACACACATTACACTAGTTACTGACTAGTTTCCAATCAAAAATATCCAATACACTCCTACACGAGGTCAGTCACGAGCCTGAATATCTTCTCAGTGGTAACATCTTTGACTGCAGGCGGCACTGGTTGACACGGGGTAGAATCTCAGAAGGGATATGAGTTCCTTGAAGATTGCAGATACGCTTTTCTGACTGATGAATACAAACAAGCACGAGTAAGGCTTCCTGTCGATTGCCTCTAGCCATTTAATATTTTACTAAATTAGCTACATTTTGTTCGTTCGTGTTAGACGAGGGAAGATTATAAGTAGTAGTGTGGTTAGAAATGAATACAATTCGATTGACGAGGTTAGGAAAATTCGTTTATTAAACTGGTGAGAAGGTATACCTAACCACTACGTTTCTGAACAGATAATGCTAGGTGAAGTCAGGCAAGACTGGAAAACAGTTTCGCGTGGTCAAGTCAAGATGAAGTACAAATCCATGAAGTCAGTGATTATTGTTGTGAGCCTCATAGGTAGCCTGAGTAGACTGCAGAAATGAAGTGTTTGGAACACTATGAACCATTGGTTGGAACCAGTTTATATGATGGCTTAAGGTTATCCGCAGTGATGCAAACTCATGAGATCATGTAGAGTGTTAGTACTTCTTTCTGTTACATGTATGCACATTTCCTACTACTTTTTACTTATGTTGAGTCTTTTTCCGAAGTTTAGCAACTCGGACTTATGCACCTGTCTGCTAACTTTCACTTTGGTCCATTAGTCACTGCACTTTAAATTTAATCATTGGAACCTTATTGTTATGTACTGGTCGAGTAATTAATAGTCCTGACGCATGAAGGCGGAAATCAGAAAACCACCAGGTTCACGATGATACTTGTATTTTTCAAACAAGGAAAAATCAATGTCACACAAGTGTATGAGCGAATGTTCAAAATGAACGAATCAATAGACAGTCTTAACATGACTGGTTGTAATGTCATGTGACAACAAGGTCAGACATGTTTGTTTAGTTAGTGGACAGACAAAAACATCTTGTCAATAATAATGGAATATCGATCCATATATACATAGCAAAATATAACAGACTGTCAAAAACAAACGCACATATTATGTGGATACATATCACTTATAAATAACTATGGACAGTCAGTATTTTTTAAAATTCTTTTTGAAATGGTGTATTGGGATTTAAAACTGATCTAGTATTTTCTCAAATGTTAAGACCACACTAAATAATAGTGAAAGACATTCAGTCAGCATAACACCTCATAAGTTGACTCATGTATCTAAGCTTAGTAGCTTTTAGACTCCAGAGTTATAATAGCCTCAAAATCTTCTAATAAATAACTGTCAACTTATTATTGTATGAGAGGCAAAGTGTTTACTTAAACTGAAAAATAATACAATATTATCTGATTTTAAACTGACTGAAAAACCAACAAAACAGAGTGTGTAATGCATGCAACTCATGGGTATGTGGAGACTGGAACAGAGTCTCTTTTACTTCTTATTCTGATTACTGACAGCTATTTCAGTAAGGTATATAATTTGAACAATAATAGTAATAACTATACTAGTGGTAATATATATATATATATATATATATATATATATATATATTGAAGCTAACAGTGGTGTATTGTTGTTACTTTTTTAAAACAAATTGTAGAACGCATTAGATACAAATACAAAGCCAGCAGTGAATAATCTCCTAGGAGATACTACCAATAATCAGTCATCTTCACTTAACAATCAAGATTCTAACAACTATATAATAATTCAATGTGACAATACGCCTGTAGAAGAAGTCTCTTCTTTAAATAAGGAATTAATAATCGATCAAAAGAATGTAATATTGCCGATGAGTGAGCATGACAAAGATATATACTATACTGACCAGAATGACAATTATTATGCTGGTAATGCTGTTGTTGTTGATGATGATGATGATGTTGACAATGACAACGGTGCTGGTTGCGTTGGTTATCTGACAGATGAAGCAGATAAATCTGTTGTCTCTGATTGTGAATCCCAAGACTACTCACCAAGTTTTCTAAAACCAATAGGATGTGATGACCTAATCAAGGAGCATATCTACTCTACGCATGTCTTTCAGGATTATGATAACACAACAACCGATGCATCAGTAAACAAACTGTCAGAGGATATATACTCATTAGAATTAGGCCTAAGTAACAATGATAATAATGGTGATGATAAAATTAACAGACTGAATTATTTCGACTTGATTTGTTCAGACTTAGCTTTTTATTCTTCTAATAATAGTGACATCAACAATCATAATAACAGTCAAAAGACATATGTTGAACAACATTTCATAGCTACGCCTAAGTGTTTACAGTCAATAAGTTGTAATAAGCAATTATTATATCAAAGCATTCCATTCTTTTATCAGTATTATGGAAATACTGAAGATTAATCATAAATAAATAAATAATGCGTAGTTGTTTGCTTTATTTTTATGAAATCAGACTATTTTTCTGTATGAAATTTTATATTAAACCAGTTGAATTATCATTTGCATCGTAAAAGTGTATGTATAAGTATATAGGTGTATGTGAATGTGAACAGGTAAGTTATGATGATTAGTTGACTATTTTCTCTCCTTCCCTTTCCCGGTAGAATGTACGAGCTTCAAGCTTGAGCTTTGAAGTTTCAGTAGCAGTGGTCGTTAGCCTTTCATCCAATGTTTCTTGTGTTGCCGGGCATACTACCAGCTGAGTCGAGCTTATGAGTGCGTCGGTCAGAGATCGGACCCCCTAACCATGTGAGTGGTTGGAGGCCATTATGCGACCGATCTACCGACAATTAAGTTGAAATTAATGTAGAGGGAACTGTAAGATATCCTGCTTGAGGAATATATTTAGTAATTTTTTACAGAACCAATTACAATGGTACAAGCTTCTACTTTTATACAATATTTAGCATGGATTCGTTTCTATTTCCATCTTAGCTGCTATCTGGGTTGAATGTTGCTTCATAGCTTTATTAATAAAAATTTGAGTTATCTATGTCCTGGTTGTGTTTTTGACTTTCGGATACATATTTGCGTTAAGAAAAGAGTTTGACGGTAATTTTTCAAATCGCTTGTTGCTCGCTGCTCCTTGACTAAGTAATCAAAAGTTGTATTTGAAAGTTTCATATATCTTGGAGAATATCTGTACAATATGTATTTTCACTGAAGTATGTACTCACTGGTTGTTCTTGCAACAGTAAAGTATAGACACCAACTTCAGAAGTTCTTAGGGAAACCAGTCGGATTCCTCTAGGTGGAAAGTGGTATTTAATTTATGAAAAAGTGTATCATAGGAGTGGTGATAGACATACCAAACAAGTGTTGATACAAAACTCATCTAAATGATTGTATAACATATCATTTCGGGAACCACTGACCATTTTAATACGTTTTTTCAGGTGGGTCCAGAATCCTTCCTTAGAGTTTGATGGGTTCCACTTGTAGGATCCACAAATTCAGAAGAATGATTGACTTTATGATGAATATAGCCTAATGATGATAATTGCAAATAGCCCCTCCACTCATTTGAGTGAATGATAATGTCTGGGAGGACTAGTCGTTGTATTCTTGGCATTAAAATATCGGCACTTTTGTTTGGGATGCCTTCTACAAACTCTTTTCGAAGATTTGTATCGTACAGTCACAGCACCCAAACATTATTTGCTGTCGTCAATACGAACGACAACACCAACTCCTTCAAGTTCAGAAATAATTTCAATGATCTTTTGTGATTCAGTATCATGGCAGTGCTGATACCATTGCACTGTTGACATTTTAGTATTCTATGTTTCTTCATCTTCATCAGATACTGGTCGCTTTAGTAGCCAGTAATGTGATATCCAGTCAAACAAAATCCTCACAAAACTAATACTTGAAAATATGCTCAGTTGTTTACTAAGGGAGAGTTTCGATTTCGAGAAGAAAGTATTCCAGAAATCACCATAATGTACGACTCACCAACTCTTACAGACCATCTGATAGAACAGTAGTTCCATCTGAATGCATAACCAACAGTAGCCCGACAAACACTTCTATGGAGTCATTATCCCTCCACATATGTGTGTTTTAGTCCTCCCTATCAAACTATTTGCTACACAGAATTCCAAAACCAAATCTGGGTGCAACTTGCAACGAAGATTCTGAACAGCATCGATTTGTATTGCTGAGTGATCTGATTGGTTGGTTGAAGGTCATTTGACTTTGGCGTCTGTTGTTTACTCCTTCCATTGTTCTCGTTAAGATACGAACAGGTTGAGCCGTCTTAATCAACATAACTGTTAATTATAAATAGTTATGAATGTAGCTGTAAATTGATGTACTTCACTTCATTGATTTTACAGTAATTGATGCTTTTACAAATTGTTGAACTTTCGATCTTTTTTCTTATCTCACAGATGTTTACGAAAAGGGAGGTGAAGATCACAGTATTTTTTGAAGTTTCTTCTCCATTTTTTACAGCAGAAGCAGGAAAAATCCACATATTCTTGTTACTCTCAACAAAGCGTGAAAGAGTTATCGATCTGAAGAAAATCATGCGTAGACTTGTAATTTACTTTGAGATTCTAACGCAGCGGAATAACTGCTCATCTCTGAAGGTAATTAGGAACTTATTTTTCAAAGGCAAAGGCTGACCAGATAATTTACAAATGACCAAAAAGAAGCTTTTTATGACGATTTTTCATCGTGGTATGAATGCGAGGCCTTCGTTCTCAGTCTGCTCATAGTTTATTTTATTTGTCTTCGGTGTACTTGAAGCAACTACAAATTTGATTCACAATATTATCAGGACACATGATAGATAACTTCATTGACACCGTAATTAGATATATCATAGGCAACAGTAATTTTTACTTTCAGATTGTAACATCCAAATACTCGAACAAAATAACATTCGAATATTGGTTTGTAGGGATTTAGTTTTAAAGGTTTTCTAAACTTTTGCGAAAAAGCCAGAAACCGACTAGTCTCAGGAAGCAAGGCTGTGTATTGATCTAGGGCAAAGAAAGCAACTTTTGCATTCTTTGGATCAAATTGATGATTATATTTTCCTATCATTCCTATTTGTAAAATAAGAAACTGGTTTTACCAAACTTTGACATATATTTTAAAAGACTGATAAGTTCATCATATTTTTTTTCGAATATAATCACCATATAATCTAATTACACCGATACACTCGCGGGTACAATGGTTAAGATATCTGTAATTTTCTATAAAGCGATTTGGTGGTATTAACATTGAAGGGTAACCTCTGATTTACACATGAGACCATGCGAGTGCAGATAATCAACAATTTCTCCGTGATGAAACATCAGTTAAATCTGGCTTCAAGAAATACTTTCCACCAGTCAGCTTGACGAAATATCCTCTGGTACTGTTAGAGGGAGTGGATGGTCTTCTACTGAGCTCTGTAACTTCCATGGAAAACATGAAAAAAAGGAGTATTGGTCCCATTCCTTTCTGTAACATAAGAATTAGTGCCATCTTCGGTTCAAAGCACTCAATTCATGTAATCCATCTAACAGTTAATAGACTAAATTAACAACTATATTGGGAACCAACTTAATTTGGCTCTGTAAAATTAACGGTAACTGTAACTGTTCAAAAGTGAACGACATTTAACAGGCTGTCACCAAATAAAATAAGTGGATAATACTTCTTTTCGAAATTTCTTCCAGTTGATTAGCCACGAACAATGAAAGTCGCTAGTATACAATAACAGTCTTAAATACATGGCCATATGTAGCTAACCAGTCGAAACCATCTCCCAAACCACTGAAGAAAAACAGAAGGTAGGCTGAAAAGTTAAAACTTATTCAGCATATTGGTTGGAATTTTGTTTGGTAAATTTCGTGTGTGAATAAATTTTCATAAAATTGTGTTATATGTTGTCTGGATTGATGGGAACTCTCATTTTTCTACATGTCATGTTGGTGTCCGAGTCATGTGATTCGACTGAGAGACACTGTTAGCATATTGGTTACGAACTGTGTTGAAATATTGCTATAACTAGCAGGATGGAATAATTGGATAGTCTACTTTATGTGAAAGCTGTACTTCTTGCCAGTTTCATTTTATGAAGAATTCACATGTCTCAGAATATCAATACAGCCTATTTTCGTGTAAATTACAGTATTATTTGACAAGTGAATGCTATCAGAACATGAATTCGCCGACAAATGCTAATAGAACCTTCTGTGAGAACAGAGGTTTTGATGTAGATGCCTTTTCAACGCATGTGTATTTGGAGAGGAGCTAAGTATAACGGTCAAGGAGTGCGAACACCCCAATGACCTTGAGCGCATACTAGTCATTGGATAATGGGCCTTATCATTATTATAACACAAATGTTAACGCCATTCAGGAATTAAGGCGTAAATTTCACCGCGATCACATTTTTAAGTACTGTTTAGACAATGTGTTAACACCTCGTTGGGGTTAGGATTAAGGATAGGTTTGGAGTTGGTATTACTCATCTTAATTAGTTTTATCATTCATATTTCTCTAGTAAGTAGTCGTCAATCTTGATACTGGAAACCACAATAATTCAATCGAGGGCTTTTTTGGAAGACTGAAAAACAGAATCAAAGCAATAAACAGGTCACAAAAAGACTCAACTTTAGTCACCTAGGTGAATACATGTAAAGAAACTAGTCTAACATAAAAATGATACTCTTCATTATAATTAGGAGCTATTTTGAAGTCATGTCAGAGTAAAATATTCTGTTTAATGTAGTTAATTATTTTCTTGTAAACAAATGTTTTTTTATGCCGAAATCGCGTTATTTCCTGACTGGTCAGCTCAATGTCACTCATGCGTTTGCATTCCATGGATCGTAATAATTTAACTTTGCCTGGAGAGGAATTAGAGTAAGTTGAAAGCTTTTCTATATTACGTGTAACTGGGTAAGAGCAAAGAGTAGACACCATCTTCGAATGACCTTGAACCAACCCATCATATCGATCAGTATCAAAGATGGATGCTTTTCATAATATTTGTTGTATGTTCCACCCTAACCTTAGTCATAAACACACCTTAATCCTATTCAACTGAATTTTAGGTTTTCCCGTCGATTGATTGGACCGAAGTGCTCCGTCTCAGGCTTCTTGTGCAGATGCTTCGACGGTGTCTGGGAATGTAATTAGAGGTTAATTGGTGTATGGTGACTAGTAGTGGAATCCAGTACGTGCATTTCGTCCTATTTGGGACTCGTCACTGGATGTGCCTGCATTCCTCAGTGAATGATCGTGTTCCCACTAACCCGTTGCACAAGAGGTAGCGCTCCTCGGTCATGTGGTTTAGTGGATAATGCTTTGGCGTTTGAAACTATGGGAACTGGGTTCGAGCCTCAGCGGGAACACCATCATTCCCTGGGGAATGCAGGCTCATCCAGGTGACGAGT